ACCCTATGAAGTGCATGACTCACTCTGGCTTCCCTGTCTCCTTTCGGGCTTGTATGTCCTTCTATCCATTTCTCTGGCTCCTGCCTCTCTCCCTCACTCCTTTCCCCCCATGTCCTCAGCTGCCTTTGAATTCTCTTTCACTCTGGGTCCTCATTCTTTTCTTCCTTTCATGTCTTTCACTCTTGTCTGTGGCTTCTCTCTCTGTCCCTCTGCACTATCAAAACGAATTGAGTTTAACAGAGTGAGGAAAAGCTCCACTACTGAAAAGCAGCTGGTGGGGTGAAGGTCACTGCTCAGCAAGGTCTTTGGCTCTCTTCCAACTATTTTTCAGCAATGGCAGCATTTCCTTCCCCATCAAGACCAATGGGCAAATTGCTTCCTTCACTTGTGGGGGCAGGGGGTGGACAGGGGTGGTAATAGTTTGGCAGGCAGCTCAGCCTAGCAGGCACAGTGGCACCTGTGGGTTCTTTGCTGGAAACTCCTGCTCTGAGTTCTAATAAACAGAAGACATACAAATAAATACTAGCCAGTGCAAGCACCAGATACTACACAATGTTATTTAGGCTAAGCACATCGATCTGTAATAGTTCATACAATCTTCTGGCTCAGTTTTGAGGTGTTCCCTGAAAACTTGGAGCCCCATCTCCATATGGACCTTTGGATTACCTTGATTGAGACTGTTGTAGGCCTGCTGATTTTTTATTATGTATATCTGGTTCTGTATTTTAATATTACTCTTTCTGTTTGGTATTTTATGTTGTTGGTTATTTGGTCTTTGTGAACCATCCAGAGAGCCATTTTGGGTGCACGGGTGGAACAGAAAATAAATAAGGCTAATTCATTAATTGTGGCTAAAACTAGGAAATACTGGTTAACACTGCATCTCACATACTGAATAAGAATCCTGTGCAGATATGGAACTTGGATTGTCTTACCCATGGTTTAATATCACTACCAACCAACTTAAGTATGGTTAATAGAAGGGTTGCTCCCAAGAAGGGCTCCAAGGAGATAATATGCAATTCTGCACCTCACTCCCCATCTCTAAGCTCTGGTTAAGAAATTTAAAAATTATGGGCACAATGCGCCACAGTATGGGAACAGTTCTGACTGTGCCTTCCTACATTCTCAGTCACAGGACATCTGCTCTAGATGTGGATATAACCCAGTTCTATTCAGGACAGTTTTATGCAAACCCTGGAGATGAACATGGTAAGCAAGCCCCATGTGGGTCTGGACACTGGTTGAAACAAATAATGTTCCATAGCCCTGCACTGATATGAAACACATGTGCTAAAAATGCCTTGCAAGGAATGTTTTGAAATAGTTCATTACTAGAATAATTAAGGTTAGTGTGCTAGGCTTATCTTCAGCAGCTGATTCACCCATAACAAAAGATCACTGAAACATAACATTACTTGCCTTTGTGAATGCTTTAATGGCACGATTTAGAAGGAGCTCCTCCACATCTGCTGGGATGGTCTGCAAATTTACCACACAATTTAAAATGCACAGTATTGTGTGATATTTTCCCTGCAGAAGCACAAAACATGATTAGGCAGGAAAGATTTTTCACAGCACAATACTGAAACATATAAGCCACAATCTAAATCCAAGATAGGCATGATTTAAGGGGCACAGAAGCTCTTTCAAGCCATAGGCCAAATTATATTTCGGAAGAATGCTTGGGGGTACATTCTTGGGGGGAATTCTCGTACATTCCCACAACCCATAACAGGACCATTCACCCAGGTTCAGAAGATACTACAACCCACTGTGAGTTTAAAAACCCCTGAAATATGCCATGGTTGTCAAGGTGGCTTGTTGGGAAGGAGGAGGCCACTCTGTGGGAAGCTGTCTCAGTTTGTACACTAATCCATAATAGCTAGTTTTCCACAGTGGGTTGCCACGTCAAGTGAATTTAGTCATAGAGCCTTGTGAAGTCCTTAAAAAGCAGATATAGCACAGAAGGTAATGCATTTCTCACATGAAGTGAGGAAAATATACTTCCATAATGGCATATATACACAGAAAAAAATGTCAAGGATTATTTTTGAAGAAATGTATGGAATACAAAATTTGAAATAAATAAATAGCACCAAATTACTATGAAGACAGGTATTCCGTATCATGAGGCAGGTTCAAATACCATGAGATAGAAGGCCTTTGTTAATTGTAGAAAACACAGTAAGCACAGTGAGTTGTCTGTGACTGTGCATACAGTGTAATTGACACTGAATTCCTGCTATAGTTTAACCCCCATTTTAAGATGAATAATGGAGACAATTGGATGTATACTTGTATTTCCAGTGTATCCCTCAAGATACCCATATTGTGTATGCATGACAGCATACTGCTCCCCCACCCTAACACAGCTGAGCATCACACTGGCTGTGTTAGCACAAACATGAGAAAACACATTTTTTCACATATGCAAGCAAGGTAAAATTCTAAAGACAAGGAGTATGCATGATACTTACCTTTTCTAGTAATTTAAGTGCGTCTTGAGAGTCTACATTTTTTGCTAACACATCAACATCATTTTTGTTTAAAAGAGGTTCTTTAAGTTGCTCTATCCAGGACCACATCAAACTACTGAGGATAAAGGGATCATTTTCAGCACATATCTTATCCCAGGCTCCATTCTGAGAATTCAGTTCTTTCTAATAAAAGAAATTTGAATCAGTTCTCTGTGACTTGTCCTTGCTTTACTCATCTTAAAGTAAAACATCCTATTACCTTGCAAATATAGTACCCCTCAGGATTTACCCCCACTAGGTAAGTATTAATCAAGTGGAGGATGAGTGTGGCCGTGCCTACTGCTCTCCCCCACCCCACATGTCCCTGCCATCCTGCAGAATTCACGCATTTCCAAATCTGTGTAGGCAGAAGGAGAGAGCATATATTGGGGAGAATCAAAGAACACAGGATGCTTAACCCTTTCATCGCCCCCAGATTCACAGCAGGTAATGCCTCCTTAGGAAAATTTTCCCATGTCTCAGCCTAGCCAGGACACAAATTACACATGGGTGCATTTGAAGTGTCTTCCGGGATTTGGAATCTCTCAGAAGTGCATTCTTAGAGGAGATGTGAGGATGCTTAACCAGGAAGAGACAAGGCTCAAGGCCCAGAATTCTATCATACTGTTTAGCACCTTCTCAGATCTTCCATGCAAAGTGCTGGTGTTGTTCAGGCAGCTGGATTTGGAACCCTAAACTCTCCATCTGCTGGAATGACCCCTGATCTTTATCAGCACTTAATCTTGCAAAAGCTCTGAGTCCCAGCAAGTCTAAACTCCATCAGTGGTCACTAGCCTTGCTGGCGTTCTTTCCCAGAGGCAGCCTGCCTGCATACACCAATTGCTGAGGAGCTTGGGCAAGCAAATGTTTTGCATGAATCCTGCTTGAGGAATCCTTTGGGTAGCCAGTTTGCCACCATATGTAGAGAGTACTGGACCAGATGGACTTTTGCCCTGATCCAGCATGGCTTTTCTTATGTTTTTTTGTCCCAGCAAAACTAAACCCTATCAGATTCGTTCATGAGAAGGAAACTCTGAATGTTGGTTAATCTCAGATAACTATATCCCACCCTGTGCAGAAACCAGATCCAAAGTGTGCCTGCTAAACAACCAAGGCCAGAAAACTACTGGGACATTGGTCGTGGAGTTCTAAACCATTCCTCAGTAAGTCTGTTGAAGTCCCCCCAGCACAATAAGCCAAGGAGACATAGTACCAACCCCAAGACCACCCAGCTAGCTAGGGGGAGTCTTAAACAGCAGGGTGGGTGGTAGACCAACAGTCTTGCAATGAACTAGAGTGCTCATTCATAAACTGAAAAGTCTAGCCTACTGATTGAATTGTCTCTGTTCCCAGCCAGGAGAGCTGCTTTAGTCAAAAGCAGATCTAATATTCCTCAGTTTCTGTTCATCAGGAAAATCACTGAAGGACAGCATGTAGCCTTTTTACAAGATACCCACTTTGCTGCAGTTAAAAGTGAAACAGGAACACAAATATTTTAGGGGCCACAGGCTTGGTTTCAGATAATAATACATCTTTGCACATTATATTTAAATAACAAGAATTCTTACATATCATCCCCCATTAAACAAGCACAACACAGATAGTGATCTTAGCTTCCCCTCAATGACGACTGAAAACTATGAAATAGGTCATGGCAATCATTTCTCTTATGAAGAGCATTCTCCTCCCTGAATGCATTTCTAGAGTATCTCAGGCTTGGTACAGGGAATTGCCTTTGTCGTTAACTCAGAAGGATACGTGAGAAACACTAAAGGGTTTTTTTAAACTTTCTAGAGGGTCTTTTTTTAGCCTAGGCAAGTACCAAAGGGTAATGTTTCAAAATGAAAATACCTGCCATGTTTCCACTTTATGCTTCACTTCTTCTGCTCCCATAAATTCATTTAGATCTGCAAGGGCTTTGGCTGCCAAAGTTCGTCTTGCCTCCACAGTTAGTTCTGACTGCACAACAATATGAGGGATTGCTTCAGACATAACATGGAGCTCATGCTCTGCTTTAGAAGAGTCTGATTCTTCAGAGGACCACATTCTTTTACCATAAAGATTATTTTTTCTGGCACAATGATAGTTTAATGCTTTTTCCTCTTCCTCATCTTCCTCCTCCTCTTTTTCTTCCTTCCGATCACTTGCAAGACCAGAAGAAAAGGTTTTACTACGCTGTATTTCTTTGGGATATTGACTTTTATGGCAAACTGGAGAACTTTCTTTTCTGTCTAGATTACATCTACCCTGACCAGAAAATGTAAATGTACTACGAATTAACAGTTCTTGGTTGAACTCAACCTGAAGTGTTTGACAATTATCCACATTGCTTGGCAAATCTGTTTTGTTGCACAATGGCACTTGCACAGGCACTGACCATGGTGTTTCTCCTTGCTCACAGACAAATACGGCTCTTCTCAAATCTGAGTCACTGTAGCTCAGGCGCCGTTTTGCTCGACTCAGAGGCTGAAGGTAATCAGCATTCCTCCTTTTCCAAAGTGGATCACATTCATGTTCACTGGGATGAAAAGGGTTTGCCCCTGAGAATGAAAATGGCTCTGAAGTACTACTGTCTTGCCTTGTTAATTCTTTATCAAGCTGAGTAGAAGCTAACTGGGAAACAGTCTCCTCAATTTCAGCTGACAGGTCTGGTATATCTATCAATTCCTCCTCTATCACCTGCCGGTTTTCAGCCAATTCCAAGAGCAGCTTGCAAACCAGATGAATAAGTTTTGGCACATGCTTCAGATGTCTGCTTTCATAACCGTGGAGCAAATGACGCTGCCGGATCAGGTACTGGGAAAGTGTTACTGCGTGTGCTTTGGGCTCACAGGATGCAAAAACATTCCTTAGAGGAATTAAGAACTGTGAAAACTCCCTTACACACATCAGCTGTCCTCTAGTTTGAATAGAATTAGGTCTTTTTGCTCTGACAAAAAGGATTGCTTGGTCTGCAGTCATTCTTGTTGCAAACACTAAATAACAAGCTATTAATACACCTGGAAAGATAAATAAGAAATGGATTGTTTGATGAAAACTAAAACAAGACAATTAAAGTAATTATGAAAGAACTGTTCTATATTCATGTCCTTCGCATCCCAGCAAGCTAATGTCTATTTCTTCTTTAATATCATAATGTAAGCTTTGATCAGTCATGAGAATAAGTCTTGGGGGAAATCATGAGTCTTCAAACTACGGCCCAGGGGCCAGATCCAGCCCACCATCCCCACTGATCCGGCCCAGCATGCCCATTGTGCACCCGCCACCACCCACCTCACCCCGCAAACGGGAGGCAGCGCTTTGCTTGCTCGGAGAAAACAACCTGCAAGCGAGCAAGCCGCTGCCTCGTGCGTGCGCCTCGCCACGCATGCCTGCCCGTGCCTTGCTGGGCGCCCCGCCCCCGCCCCGGCGCCCACCTCCAGATGGGCTGCCCCCTCACCAGCCCACATGCACGACCAGGCACCACCTGTCCAGCCTGCACCGAGCACCAACAGCTTTCGACTGGCCCCCTGGGCAAAAAGTTTGAGGACCCTGATCTAAATTATGTTCCCCACACTGTGCCATGCATATTTAAATAAAGATGTCTACATTCTTTCCTATATGTACATTGTCAGAATAGATGATGATGATGATGATGATGATGACGACAGCACTGAAACGTCTACATTAAACAAGCAGGAACACGCTGATGTAAAGAATGCATCAGGAACAAAGCTCAAGTTCAAAAAATGGGGAATGAATTTTGAAACAGTTCTTTACTTATTAAGGAAATCAAGTCAGGGGATGCACGTGGTGAGCTATTCAAATTAGTTCTCAAAGAACTAAATGAAACGAATTAAGCAAAAGATTTGCAGAACTGATAAGACACTGATGCCCAGAATGAGGGGAGGGGGTAGAAGCAGGGGGCAGACTTGCTCATGTATAGCATTTTTTAGATGCTACAGATGAACATGTCTATGCCTTGATGGATAATTTCAAAAGAACCAAGTCTCTACAATGGTTCTGCTGTGGAATATGGAGTGAAATATGGGTCTTTGGGGATTACACAGCAAGTGCCTCTAGAATGCCATCCCTCCCCTGCTCTTTCGTTGTTATACAAGCTCTCATGCCAAGTCCTCAATCTGCTCTTTGAACTCAAAGATCAGTTTGGGAGTTGTGTGACCCATCTTCTGAGAAAAAAATTCAGAAAATGCAGGCATATTAACAGCCTTAAACAATGAATGTTTTGTGTCAGCTTTCTATCAAGAGACTTTGTTATACACATGCATATTAAAGAATTTACAAAGGTTCATAAGTTTTCACTATTTGATATTTCTGAAAAGTGCATTCTCATTGAATTTGTGGCTGAGTATTTTTACCTGTTCTGCCAAGTCCTGCGTGACAATGAATAGCTACTCTCCCTTCCTGTAAGGCAAAAGTCATCACTTTTACCATATCGAGGATAGTAGTGAGAGAAGCCACACCATAATCCTTCCAGCCAAAGTTATAAAAATAAACTAGAAAAAACATTTTAGAACATTATTATTATCAGAAAATTAGAAACAGCGTATTCTTACTACCACAAAAATATTGCGAATCTATCTGATAAAGCTTTGAGCAAATTTACTATTGAGAATTGCTTTTCAATTGCTTTTCAAAATGTCTTGTTCTGGAATTTTGTGAGAATTTCCAATACCACACTGCATGTTAGAAAAGATATTATCTACAAAACCTAGCATATAAAACCTATAGCATAACACACTAAGTCATACAGTGTTTGTGTGTACACATATATTTATATGGCAACAATGTAACATTCTGTTTGGAGAATAGCAGCATCTCTAAGCCTCTTTGTGAAGCAGTTTGTATCCCTTCAAAAAAAGAAAAGAGTATTGATATGATGGGCAAGGGGGGAAGAAGCACAGGGCAATATTAATATGCAAGTCTACTGTATTGTCAGTGTGTGAAACACAGATGAATGTTTTACAGAAATACTGCTATAAAAGTTTGAAAGTTAAGGACATTTCAGAACACAGCTATCCATTCTTAGCTGTCAATTCTACTGACATTTAGGACATTTGCTATAATGCCTCTCCAGTGCATGTGAGTATTTTTAAGCTTTCTTGTTAGCTGCAACTTATTTTCTTTGGCAAGCCTCCCTCAACTAGCTGCTTTTAACCTAAGAAGTAGGTGGCAGAAGCAGCCTGCAGCACCATACTTTATAATTAACAAGGAACAACAGCAGGGGCAAACTTACTTCCCGCCTCCATGAATGCTTCAGGAAGGTAGGTGAAACCACTCTCTTGTTCCAGTGGATTCCCGCAGCTAGCATGTTCCCCAGGACGCTGAAGGTTAATTACTGTTTTTATGCCACATCTTATGCAAAGAAAAAGACGATGCATTCTTGAACTATGCATGCTTTCAGTCTTCCCTCCCTGCCCCCCTTCTTAGTTCAGAATTGTTATAATCCAAACCAATGCAAGAAAGAAATAGATCCGCTTTACAACCTGATGGGTTATAGTAGTTCATTATCAATATATATTTATTTTACCTTTGGAATTGCTCAATAATATTATACTTTTCAATAAGTTCTGTTGAAGGTCGAGACATGGCTAATATGTTATCTGTAATCCTGCGGGGGTGGGAGAAGAGAAGGTGAAATGTTTGGGGTTAAAATACTTCATAATTGGTTTTCATAGGTAATTTTCTAGTTAATGATCCATGCCACTTGAAATAACTATGTGCTTTCAAACCATTAAATGCCTTTTATCCCTATGTAATTGAAAGACTTTACGTAATAAAGTGCCATTAGGTTGCCAAGATACTGTGATAATAAGAATGTAGATAACATGCATACTTTTATACTCCTGTACAAAATAATTACACATTTCTTTCAAGTGTTTTCGTAACAGCTGCATAAAATACCCCCACACAAAACATATTTCAGTAAAAGCCTGGTAATTCTTAAATCTTATTGTTCTATCTTAAAATTTCAGTTCAGTTAAAATATGGATACATTTCAAATCTAGTTAAATTTAAATTACTGACAGAGATGCCTGTAATACTGGAATACAACCTATCCAAAACTAAGCTGAATTAGGTTTCACTGAAATCAATGGGATATTATTCATAATAATGTAACCAAAATCCTATTTAAAGCAATTGGACTTTACCTGGCTCAAACCCAGTCTTTTTAATATATATTTTGAAAATGAGTGCAAGACCCACAAAATTCAAAAGGAAGTTAATTCACTACATATATATATATAGTTCATGAATATTGCTGGTTGCTCCTGCATTGGAGTTTGCAAGAAATGTGTCCACCTAAACCTTTTCAAAAGTGGTTTCACTGAACATGTAGTGTGATCCTGAGCATATTTGCTCAGAAGTTCAACATAGTTCAATAGGACTTATTCCCATGTAATTGTGTATGGGTGCAACCTTAGCCACATAAAAACAAAATTTGGAGATCTCTAGCAGAAAAAAATGCTGCATACTACCAGGAAGAATAAAGCCCTTTAACAGCTTGTTCTTGGTCACTCCACCGAGCTGGATTTTCATATTTGCAAGCACGGCCACCACATGCCATGGAACACTGCATATGACCAGGAATGACATGGCGAAGGCGTTCTCCAACTTTTGTATATTTTGCAGTAGGACGCCGAGACCTTCCTGTAACACACAGTGCAATAAAAAAAGGTCAGTGGTTCTTAACCAAAATGTGTGTGAATCAGATGCACAGAAATAAAGATATGCAGAAAAATATCTGTGAGATCATGAAAAGATCCACTGGAATTTAGTTTCGGTTGGAACTGTTTCTTCTTGTTGTTTTTTTCTTGTTTTCATACAGAAACAGTGAATGTAGCATTCCCTAGTAAAGGAAGTGTCATGATATTTATATAGACATACTGAATGCTTTCTTTCTTTCACATTACGGACAAAGTCATAAAGGTACCCACCAAAATTCTGGAAAAATAATACATCAGGTTTTATCATGATACAAAGAAAGAAGTAAAATATTCTTTCAAATATTCTTTCATGTAGAACTGATTATCTAGGCAAGTTTACGTGCACATTAATACAGAGTCATAAAAAGCCAAATATGATTTCTATAAAGGAAATAGCAATACTTTACTTTTTCTCTCATGGAAAGCAGCATTTAGCTCCTCAGGGCTGACAGAGGAAATGGCCACCATAACCCTGTGTGTAGAAGTTGAGAGGACCTCTACAACTGAGCTCCGTCGCCTCTGAAGTATGCGAAGAAGAGGATCAGAAGAAGAATGTCTCCTGCCCTGGAAAAAGTTGCTAAAAATATTCACCGCCAAGCGCCTCCTGGGTGAACCTTGCATGGTCACTCACTACTGGTAGCAGTTCTGATATGCTGCAGGAAGTCAAACTGAATGAAAAATCTGACTTGCTCAGTACTGAACTTGCACAGAAACATCTTTCTGTATGATCTAATGGCTGTTCAGGATAGGCTGCTCTGTCTCCATAGAAACCAACAATGAACTCACTGATGGCAGCTAAATTCTATATACATTGATTCTGTGTGGGACAAACCGTTCCACTGCTGATGAATGTTAGAGTTACTTGAAGCAGATAATTCTGAAATTGATCAGGAATGCCCAAAATAGTTTCCTAGGAACAGACAATGGTTCAGGAATCTGAAGGGCTGATTTTGACTCATACGGTAAGAAGCAGCTTCTTCAGATCACCCTCCAAAATAAAAATTTCAAGAAATATTAACAAAGATTCAAGAGAGGCAACAAACATCTGATGAAGAATTTAATGTGAAAATGAAAAATGTATGAAGAGTCTATAAATGGATAAAAGAAAAACACTGTACTTTGAGTAATTGTACTCACACTGAGAGCCAGTGTGGTGTAGTGGTGAAGAGCATGGGACTGGGACTCAGACGATCTGGGTTCTAGTCCCCGCTCAGCCATGGAGCCAACTGGGTGACTTTGGGCCAGTCACAGACTCTCAGCCCAACCTATTCTACAGGGTCATTGGTGTGCAGATAAAATTGAGAGCAGGAGGAGGTAAATGATGTAAGCCACTTTAAGTTCTTTAAAAAAGAAAAAGGTGGGATATAAAGCCAATAAATAAACGAATAAATACAGATGCTTGGTGTGGGAAGCTCACAATAATCTTCAGAGGGAACTACTGCTTTAGAAGAGAGGGGACTAGAAAGGTATGGAGGGCATCTTTCTAATGTTTCTTCACAAACATATAAGTTTAGAAAGTTTAGAAAATGTCAAAGTACTTGATCAACAGCACTATCAGTTTGGTCACCCAAAGTATATCTCAGCTTTGAAAAAAATTAAAACAAGTTCTTTCTTTAACTTAACTTTACTCTCTTGGAAAGGTAAAACAAGTAAGTCTGGCCCTATTAGAAAAGATGATATAAATCTTCTCAAATGACAAAATTGGAACTACTGTTAAAGGGCATCAAACTATGAATTAAATTATATACATGTGTTGTGCCATGAATAGTGCCATTCAGACTTTGTGGATCAGGCATCAAAATGTCTTGAGACAAACTTCCAGATGCTAACTCCACTCCATGCTACTGCTAACCACCAAAATTCACTCCCATCCCCTAACAACCAATCCATGCCAAAGCTGACAAAGAGCTTAATACTTCCTCTGTAAAACATAATGCAGCGTGTGGACAACTAGTATTGGTGAGGACCCACTGGGTGGGGACCTAGCCCACCATGGGCCAAATAATACAAAAGGGGTGTGGTAATACCCCAAAGACCCAACTGGCACACCAGGAGGATGGTCTCCTAAGAACAACTGCTCAGAATCAGCTGTGCTGTGGTGGAGTGCTCCAGCCACCAGCCCAGCCAGAGACAGCTCATCCATGTGATGCTCATCCCACTGAGGAAGAAATCCGTAATGGCGTGTTGGACTGAATGGTTCACAGGCTGTAACTGCATGACTCATAGCATCAATAAGATTTACACAAGGGATCTAAGAGTAGTTCATGCAGTATCTTTTCCTCATATTACTCAGCAATAACCTCCAGACTGGCTGGAAGCAAATGCAACAAAAAACCTTCTAGCAGCTTAAAGACAAAGAGATTTATAGACGCATCAGATGTAATGGAGGAGAGTCTTCATCAAATGTATCTGAAGAAATGCATATGCCACAAAAGTCGATTTTATACATTTAAAACTGTTAAAATTTAAGGTGCCACAAGACTTTGTTGTTAATATTACTCAGAGGGTTCTCCCTGATAAAATCTTCCACCTCCATCCTCATTCCCAATATATACACCTAAAATCTTGGTAGTTATTCTGTTTGGTTTAGTAAATAAAACAATTTGTCTGAAAGAACAGTATCTTATTATGCCTCTTTGCTCACTGGACCCACTGCTTGCACAATGGGCTCTGGCATGAAACAAGAAGAAATGCTTGTTCCTAGAATGGTGCAGGTCAGTGGAACTTGCAAAAGCGTGTTCCGCTGACTTGTCCTGATCCAACAACAAGTATTTCCGTAGTTATTTTAGAAGCGCTAAAAATTGTGCTGTGCAAGTGGTGGTTCCCATGATTATAACAGAAGCAAAGGAGACTTGTTGGATACTGCCCATAAATATGTAATATTATGGTGACCAGATTATATGCATCAGTCCCGCTCTTTGGCCAAAACTGACATTTCTATACATACCCTGATCATTTTATAACAACGTATAGAAGACAAATACTGAAAATTCTAATGAGATGGAATTTAGGGCTAATTCCAGTAAAGAGCATCATACAATAAATGTAAATAAGCAGAGTAACTGACTACCAATACAGGAAGAGACTGAATTCAGAGTTTTTGTTTCTTATCCTCAGTTATGTGCTCATGCACTACTTCCTCCATCCCTCTTTGTTTGGTGAAGCCAGCATGCTTCCAGACAAGGATTGTTCTGTGAAGCCATGTTTTGAACTGACGAGGGAGCATGCAACCTCGTTTTGAAATGTTAACATTATTGTTTGGATGATGGTAGCATAACATCAGAATGCAGCCAAAGAGAGAAAGATGCAAACACATTGTTCAATTGGGGGTGGGGGGTGGGGGGGGGAGGTGTCATTGTTGACTTTAAAACTACTCTGCCAAAATGGTGAGTCACAATTACAAGTCACAACAATGATCATTTGTTATCCTGTGTTGTCAGTATCATCCTACCATTATATACTGCTATTATTACATCCCTGCTTCTGGCACAGCTGCCTATCTCCCATCCTCAACTCATGTGTGCTACTACATCTAAGGCATAACAGAAGAGCTCCTCCCACTGAGGACGGCTGCGATACTGTCACCACATTGTGCCATTTCTTGTTGCAGCTACGCTTCCCCAGTAAATTGGTGGATGAAGTTGGCCAGTCAAACATCTGCTTAAGTAGATGTCTAACTAGGATAGACCTCTTCTCCTACAACACTAAAAGGAAGAGTCTTAATTTTTCCACATCTAACTCAATGCGTAGTGCTAAAAATAGTCTTTCTGTGATCTAACTGCCTGTAAAGACTAAATTTTGTGGAGATGAGTTTATCTTGTGCTACTCTGGCTTAAGGTTTCAAGGCCAGGGCAGGGTTTGTGCCAGTTAGACTTAATGATTCCAGCTGGGCTTCTGTGAGAACTTTCCATTCACGTGCTCCAAAAGCCTGAGGAAAGTATTCAGCCAGTTAGTCATTGGCTCAAGAGACTCGTGTCACAGGTTAAAGGACGGTGAGTATAAAGCAAGGGAGTACTGCTGCTCTTTGTCGTCATTTGGTTTCATCTTCATCTTGCTTATGGTTCCCAGTGTCTCAGCTTGAGTCCTGTCCTTGAAGATCCATGCTTAGAAGCACATAGACAGGTTTATGTAACTTCTTTATTTTCAGCCCTGATACATTGCTTCCAAAGACTGTTTTGTTTCCTTGTATGTTATTCCGCGTCCCCCTTTATAAATAGCTTTATATACCTATTTCAAGATTTGTGTGTGCTTCCTTCCAAATGAGTCCGATACTAAATTTAGAGCCTTCTGCTTGTTTATTGTAACTGGGAATAGGAAATGCCAGCTTGGGCTTTTATTTTATTCCCTAGGAGTAAGAGTCTTCTAGTTCAGGCTGAGGCAGATGGGAAAGATGGTGGCAGCCTACCCTGACAATTGTTTGTCCTTGCCTGCGCTACCGGTAACTAGGGCAATCCCCTTCCTCCCTTTCTATGTACACTTTCAATACTGAAAAGTAATGTGCAAAAGCTAGGCAAGAATCCTGATCCCAACATATGTCCACCCTATTGAAGAAGAGATTCATACATGCTGGCTCTCTAACACATGTACCAGGTGCTATGGTACTATCCTGACACCTTGGATGTAGAATCCATTGCACCAAACTGACTAAACCACAAGGGTGCCTCTGAACTTGCCAGTCAAACATGGCGAAAAATGGTGAAATCCTGAAGCACCCATACCTGACAGACAAGTCACCAAAATTTAGTACCAGCTGAATTCCCCTGATGACACCTTTTGAATATTGTGCTATGCCATTCTGATAACCAACCTAGATGTAAAATTAACCAAGGGGCAGGAAACCTGTCAGAACCTTCTGTTCATCATCCAGAATGAAAGTATGATTAATTTTGTTTAAACCTAGCCAGAGTGCAGCCTCCAAGTCATGCAGCTATTTGTTTGTGGTATTTTAAATCCTTTAACTGCCTTGTAATTCAGGCATTCATTATTCATTCTTTTTGCTCTGAGAATAAGTAACCCAATTGGCTTTAATATTGTTTCTCATGACTCTTCCCTAGCATGAATCTGTGTTCTACTCTGGCCTTTCCAGGCCAGAATTTCTCCATGGACTTTCTGACTGAACCCCCTTTCTGCTGAGTTTTTCCAGAAAAATGTGTTTATTTTGTAAATTCAGAGAGAACACTTTACCAACCCTGATAAAGAACCCATTGAGTTCCAAAACCAGGTTCCATATGTACAAGAATGCTGTTTGACTTGAGAGGCTACACAGAAACTGTGTGAATTGACACTCCTCCACCTAACCACTTGGCTAGCATTGCTTTGCTGTACTGTGCCCATATACAAATGCATGCTCTATCAAGGCACCAGATGGAAGACTATTTCTCCATTAAGTGCCTCAATTAAGACAGCTTTGCTCATCCCATGTCCTCCACAACAGGGGAAGGTGCAGGGCAGGTGATGCTGGGTCCACAACCAAAGCTACAGTTCCATCAGCACTTTGGTTGGAAACCGACTAATGTCAAGGACGCAGAGGGTTAGCTGAAGTCATCTGGCCCTGCTACACATTTATAGTCCCCCACCCCAGCTTACAATACTGCAAAGTGGCTACCCAAAAGTTTCAAGCTGAATGTCCAATCTCTACATGTTATTAGAAATGCTAGGGAGGCCATAACTCTGACCCTGACTCTAATCCTTGCAAGGGGGCTTATTCATCTAAATATAATTTTAAGCAAACCATAGTGGTTCTGGGGTACCTAATATCAATTTGGTCTTACCACCCACTCCAAAGTCTTTACTTGGGACGTCAGTGGACAATGTGCTGCAGGCAGCTGTTGACAAGGCTAGAGAAGCCAGACTATTGCTCCATTTTGAATTTGGAACTAAAGTTGAGAAACTCAAGTTTATTTTTAACTTCTTGCAATTAACCAGGAAGTTAAGTCCCTTGGTCCAACACTGCCATCAGTTCCCCAGCTTCTTTGTTCATACGGAATTCCAAATTTCTATTCTGCCATTTCCACAGCACCATCTTCCTGTCAAACCTTTGTCTTTATATTTTCAAGCTAGGCTTATTAGAACTAATATTTTGACCCATATCGAAGGAGGTGCTATACTAACCAAACTATTTTTCTTTCATAAACACTATTCATGAGTATGCTTTTGAGAAAAAACATTTGTAAAAATAAAATCTATTATTTTTGGACTATGAATTAGTGTTTGCACGAATTATCCCACTAGTAATTTCCCATTTTATTTAATAAAGGCATAATGCATAAATACAGTGTGTGCACTCCATGACTGTGGTTTACCCACCCTGCCCCACTTTAGGCCTGGGTTGATCATTACATGTTTTGCATGTGCTGTCACCAAGCATGGTAAGTTAGTAAGGGCTGACAATGGAATCCTATGCATATTCAGTCAAAAGCCAGCTGTATCAAGTTCAGTGGAAGTTATACAAATTCCAGCAAAGATAAGGAGAAACTATTTCTGCCTGGGGGTATATTTCTATCAAAGAAACACTACAGTTTCTAAGTTACCAATATGGATAAGAATGCTGCACTTAGATAAGAAAGACCCAATCATATTTCAGCTCTTCTATAAACTTACTTTGAAAGTTACTCCTTAAATGCTTCAGTTCACAATCTCTAAAATGGTAGTAATAGCCTACTTCATCATGTTGTAGTAGTAACAAAGAAATGTTAAAAGTTTTAAGACTAAAAGCAATAACTGTACACTAGTACGCTTTAGAAATTAGCTTAAACGTCTTTTAGTTTTTTGTCCCCTACTATCCCTATTTTCTCCTGCCCACCTTGCAGTTCGAAAGCATGCAAATGCAAGTAGATAAAAAGGTACCACTTTGGTGGGCAGGTAACAGCGTTTTGTGCCCTTTGGTGTTTGGTCATGCCGGCCACATGACCACGGAGACTGTCTGCGGACAAACGCTGGCTCCCTCGGCTAGGAAACGAAGATGAGCACCGCCCAATAGAGTCAGGCATGACTGGACTTAATGTCAAGGGGAAACCTTTACCTTTACCTTATCCCTATTTTCACATTTTCATGTTCCAAAAAAAGTAAAAAAAGCAATTACCTGAACTCATGGTTGCAAGATAAGCACTGCTTGCTACCAAAGAACAATATGGTAATTCATTTTGCAACAAGACTCCTGCAGCCATTGCAGTACCTGTTGAAAGACAACATTTATAAGTCACTTTGGTTGTGTATGGCAATTTATCACACATCATCATCAGTACAGGATCTTCAAAACTAACCACAAGAAGGAAGCCAGAGCAGAACATATTATAAGCACCAGTTGTTGAAAATGGCAAACATTACTAAATCATTTGGATTTTTAATTTGAAAATATACTTAAACATTTATTAGCAATGCCTATAAACTGCTTCTTATTTGAAACAAATTCTGAAGTGCTTTACAAATAAATAAAATCCAATGAAACAAAGAAACAAAAACTGCTTACACAGATGCACAATAGTACCATATAGCTGTTAAAAAGTGAGATCATGGCAGAGGGGAAGCCAAAGTAACCAGATACATTTTCAATAGATGCTTAAAACAAAGATTGACACAAGTTAGGAGGGAGATCATTCCAAAGGGCAGGTACCACTACAAAAAGGAAAATCCACAACTTCCATTAGGAACAAAACGGCCTCCCCTTAAGATTGCAGTAGCCTGGGAGCTGGAATACATTCTGACACTCAATTTTTTATTTACTAATTAACAAAAATATTTCTTCAACTTAGTTAATTAAAAAGGTGACTAAACCCAGTAAGTTTTGTTACATCTGCCTAGCTTGGATCTGAAATGCACATATTATGCAATGCCCATTACATTTAATTTGTACTTTTCATTGTTAGAATTATTAATATTGTGAAAATTTACGATATTACTATTTGTGTGCTGCAATACAGTGCAGAGAATTACATTAAGAAATAGATATCATTGTAGCTTTTTTGTACAAATTGTAGCTTAATCCAGGCAAGACAGAGGCAGTCTGGATCATTTGGTAGGTGGATCAGAGAACAGGGATTCAGCCTGTGTGGAAGGGGTTACACTCCTGAAGACACAGGTTTGCACCTTGAGTGTACTTCTGGATTCAGCCCTGAGTCTGGATGCCCAGGTCTCAGCAGTGGCCAGTAATGTATCTACGCAGTTAAACTAGTATGTCAGCTGCAACGGTTCCTAGAGCTGTCTGATCTGGCCATGGTGAAATGTGCCTCTTTTACGGGCAGTCTCCAAGCTATGAACACCAGACTTAGGAACAACCCATACTTACGAACTGCCATAAAGCCTTTTAATTTAAAAAAAAACTGCAATAAATCATCATCACCATAGCGAGAAAGGAAGCGAAAGGGGAGAGAAGGAGATCTTTAAAGCAGGCAGTCTTGCCCCACCCATCCAGAGAGGGAAATCTCTCTGGCATTTGCCATTGATGAGTTTGTGTGTGGTGGGGGTAGAGATATTTGTGGTTTTTCCACTTTCAAGGGAGCCCTGTGCATCTAATCTCCACAAATGTGGAGGGTCAACTATAGTTACAAATTCAAAGTGGAATTTCTGTTTTCTGAGGAACGGAACTCATTCATAACCTGGGGTCTGCCTATAACATCTTGGTTGGATGCTTGTAACATGCTCTATGTGGGGCTAACTCTGAAGAGTGTTTGGGAACTTCAGCTATTTCCGACAGCTGTTGCCAGACTGCTGACCAGAGCTGGCTACAGGAAGCATACAACTCCTTTATTGAAAAAGTTCCACTGGCCCCCAGTCTGTTTCTGGGCACATTTCAAAGTGCTGGTAAAGACCTATAAAGCTCTGTATTGCTTGGGTCCAGGCTATCTGAAAGACCACACTCTCCCATATAAACCTGCTCAGGCTGTAGAGATCTTCTGGAGAGGTCCTTCCCATGCTCCCTCCATCCTCACAGGCACATTTGTGGGGAGCATGGGAGAAGGCCTTCTCAGTGGCTGCTCCAAGACTCTGGAATTCCCTTCCTAAGGAAGTTAGGTTGTGGCTTCCTTGTTAGGTTTCCCAAAAAATTAATAACCCTATTAATTCCAGCATGCATTTGGGGATGACCTGTGTGTTTGTGCTGGATTAATTTTACACTTTATATTGTTTGCAGTGTTTTAATCTGGTTATTTGTTCAATTTTAATATTTAACTAATTCAATCATATTTTTAACTTTTGTATATTTTGAATATTTTAACTGTATGCATTTTAATGTTGTGGTGGGCTATCTTGAGTCCCAATCACTGGGATTAAGCAAATGCAAATATAAATATGATAATATTTCATTACTACCCAATAGCGAAGCTCTCTCAACAGTTTACAAGGTTATTCACTAATACATTGTAAGATTGTTGCATATTTCACTACGTATTTTCTTAGCCTCTTTGAGCATATGTAAAAATTAAGTCTATGGAAAGGGAGGGTATATATTTAACAAATATGTACAGAAATTAGAATTCCTTTTCTCCCACCCTGACTCCTATTATTTTATTTCATGCAGGGAAGGTTAATTGTTCTAGTTGCTTCTGTAAACCTAAGAGATTTTGGTTTTAAAAAGTAATTACAGATGAACTTACTGTCAGTCACTCGCTCAGATTTGTCGTATGAGCAATATTCTGCCTCTGCATTTGTATTAGACATGTAAATGGGATGACTAACCTCAATGGAAAACAAGTGCTCTTTAGAACTTCACTTGCATATCCACATCAAGAAGTGACAGGAAACACATTTTTCCCCATGCAGCACAATTATTGTCTATATATAAAGATGTCTCATCCTCACTTCCAGAGTTTCTAAAATTGATAGGTTTCTTCTACACAAAATTCTGGGATAGACCAATGGTCTAATTCAGAAAGGCAGCATCATATGCTGATTTTGGAAATCTGCTAGCCCAGCTTCCAAAGAGGGGAGAAATGAAATTCTAGGAAAAGCCAGAAAAATAGCTATGCTTGCAGAAAGTGAAAGTGCAAGCAAACTATTTATTTACTTCACAGAACGCAAAGTATCACAATCCATAAATTGCTTATTTTTTCTATTACCAAAGTCAAGGATGTTTCTCTTAAATGAAAAATATAAATATGTTTGATTATATTTACTAGGAATACAATGAGTAGTTCACTGGGTGTGCATGCATGAATATACACATATGCATATATATAATTTTACACATGATATTCATAGCTATTCAGATGAATGTTGCATGTTATTTCAGGCCATGTTCCTAATTCTCCTGTACAGCTAATAAGGCCACACGTCTTTGGATAGTCAGGCTATTGCCCTAATCAGATCAGCTGCATTTATCCATGTAACATGCCCCTGAATTGCCATGACAGTTAAGAAACAGATTCGTAATCTTGCAAACATGGTTAAACGGAAACGTGTTGTAGGCAATATTTCATTACCTCACACTGAACTACATCTTTCACCTAATCGGTCAACTTAACGTGCAAATAAAACACAAGAATAGGAGTTAATCATGACTTCATAAAAACATACATCATTTATTGCCCAGAAACCTACTCTTCCTTCCCCTGGAAGCATCAGATAGAGGAGAAAAATAACACTATCAAAAGCGTTGTATTAGGAACTGAGTGTACTGCTTGTACCTAGCTACCATTCAATATATAAGTTATTAAACTGCTGCTGTCACCCATAGCTCTCTCATTGGACATTTTCATGGGTGGCTTTTTTTTTCTTAAGCAGTGGTGTTCTCACTGTCATTCTCATGCACACAATCTATAAAGTTAAGATTATGTACATTTTAGCTATAATCCAAACAAGATAAAGGATTATAGCACTGGTTCTGTTCTCATTGCTTAACTTCAGTGCCTAGCAACATATTCCTTTCATTATTCCCACTTATTTTGTGTCTAACCATTAGGCTCAAACTTTAGTGGACTGCTAAATAACTTCCTGGTTTCACGTGGCTTATTGAGCTCTGCACATGATTCTCACACAGAGTTCAGGAAGCTACAGGTTAAATCCCAGATTAACCCCAGTTTCTGTGAGGAAGAATGCTGAAAGATTCCTATACACCAAGGCAAGAGTCACTGGGCAGAGACATAAGTGGTCAAGTGCTTTAATCCCATTTCTTTCCTCATTGCATGTCCTTCTTTACCCTTAACCATTTAGGGAACATTCAGTTTATGTTCCAAGAGCAGCTAGTTACAAATGTGAAGTGAAGACTAAATTGCTCACATGACATGATAAAAACAACACTCACAAGTTCAGTGCGGGCTGTTGTTGAAACACTGGTTCTTGTTGAAATGTAGGTTATCATGTTGCCTGGGCCGGCTGCACTAACAAACCATGGTTTATTAACCACAAGTAACCCACAGTTCACAACTGAACAACAAACCATGACTGAGTGGAGACAACTCAATAACCCACACTCAAGGGCTCATTATGTATTGTCTGAGGCTGCCATGCTATGTTAACCACAAACAATCCATGAAAGAGAACCCATGAACTGGGTTTAAACATCATGATAATCCACACAAGTATGGGTCAGAGTGGGTTTACACTGAAACTCTGGTTGTTGTTGAAATGTGGGTTATCATACTCTCTGAACCCAGCTAAAATACCAAAACAGTTCACGACTCAACAACAATGAATTCTTTTCATGGGTTGTTTGTGCTTAGCAGACCATGCAGCTGATTTCAGACAATAAGATCACCCAAATTTCAATAACAACCCATGGTTCAGTGACAAACCACACTCAACCTATATTCAACCCTTGAGTGTGGATTATTGTGCTGTCTCAACCCAAGTATTCTGATTTGTACATCACCATCAGTATATCTACCATCAGTACATATATTATAGAGTAGCAACAAATATTATGCATTCATATGTTAACGTTTTCATCTTTACTCCCTTTTTGGGATCACCAACCTCAGAGACACATTTGGTGATGACCTAAAAAGTGGTCTTTTTGATGGCCACTTCCATAATACAGAATTCTCTCCCAAGAAGGATTAGGTTTGTTCCTTCTCTGCTGTCCTTCTACCAGCAGGAAAAGGTCTTTGGCAAGGTTGACTGTGGGTAGTTTATATTAGTATGATTAATTTGCAATTGTGTCATTCTTATTGTTTTTAAATATATTTTATGGTTTTAATGCATTTTAATGATGCCTCTAGGGCATCTTGAGTGC